TCTCCACCAAAATTTCTCTTCTTCCTCTTGGGCACCTGGCGAGATTACATTTCTTAGCCTCCTCTGTGGTTATGTGTGGTCATGTGACTGAGTTGCACGTGATTAAACGTGAGCAGCACTGATAGGAACCACTTGCAAAATTCTTCCATAAAATCCCCCACCCTCTCTCTCAACTTGTTTTCTGTTTGAATCTATTTCTATCTAGGTGTTAACTACTCTCCTACATCAAATACTGAATCTATCGTCCTTGCTCACAGCATAAGTGATCATAGGTACCATCCTACATCTCATTGTTGTTTTATTTAATAGATCTTGAAGACATTTCAATATTTTAGTATATGCATTTTACAGTTAAACGGATAACAAGACATTACCATCTAAATAGCCTGTATTAATTTACATTTCCACCAGAAATTTGTGTGTGGCGATTTCTGTATATCTTCATCTGTCCATGATGCTATTATACCTGCAAAATTCACAGTTCATACAGATGAAATATTGACGATCATTTGAGGGTCTAACTAGCATTATGTTGACCATGGATGATTTTATAGTCATTGACCACTTGTATTTCCACTTCTATAATGTAGTCTGCATATATCCTTGGCTCATTTTTCTATTTATTTACAATAGTTTTCAGTCTTTGAAGCTTTTTATATTAAGGATATTTACTTTTTGACTATTATCTGAGTAAAGTGTCCCTCCCCTAATTCTCTCTATGTCTTGATTTACCTTATTTCAAATGACTATTGGCATACTATGTTCATCTCTTCCTTCATGGTTCCTGGGTTTCCTATTTTGCCTAGGAAGATCTCTCTCTCTGGCTGCAAGGTTGCACAAGGATTCTCTTAAGTTTTATCCTAATAAATATCTTATTTATATTTTGTATTGAATAGAATTGGGAAGTGTTCCTTCTTTCTCTAATCTCTGAATGTTTAAGATCACAATATTTCATCTTTAAATGAATTTGTCCATAGATGACTCTTACTTGTGCTTTTAAACTGGATTCAAGCAGCCCATTAGCTATGTTTTTAAGAAAAAAAATTTTTTTTTTTTTTTGGTACCGGGGATTGAACTCTGGTCCTTCTGCTTTCAAGGCAGGCTGCAGAACCACTGAGCTAAATCCCCGGCCCTTAAGAAAAAATTTTTAAGCAATTCGACCAAAGTATGCTAGAGGGAAGTATAAAGATATATTTATTTGTATAATTAACCAATGGCATACAGTTTACTTTTGTTCAATTTCAAAATGAAGCACCTCTCTAAACTTAGTATCTCTCATATGAATTCGAAAATGGTCTCCCAGCATGCCCTCAGCAATTCAGGCTGAGTGTCTGTCCTTTCATTAGTTGGATGGCCCACTGTCCTGTCTGAGGGAAGCCTCAGCTTAGCTTGTAGATCCCAAGCATACGGTGAGGCCAGAGGCTGCCATTCTGGTTACACTGATGCACTGCTTTATTAGGCAGGAAAACAGCCTGGTGGGCAGGTGGAGAACCACAAGTTCGGTTTACATCATGTACTACAATAGGAAAAAGAGAAAGAAAGGAAAGGAAAAGACAAGAAAATGTGCACCCTAGCTAAATTGGCAGGGAAAGAAATTGAAAAGTGATTATAGGAGACTAACCAGATACCTTACAGGTTTAAATCTCAAGAAAACTCCTAGTGGTTTGTGTTCATGTGTATGAAGAAGAGAAAGTCCAAATTCAGACGGACACTGAGACAGGAAAGAGTGGGCAGCAGCAGGCAAAATCATAACAGCCCAAGAAACTACTGCGTGGGTGCCAACACCTCTGAATAGAAAATGTATGAAAACGAGTAGAGCTCAGCAAAGAGAGGCTGAATTGGGGATGGATAAGACTGTGTCCAATGTGGACCCGAAGAGGAATCATTTGTCATTCAGCGAAGGCAGTGGCAGATGATGACAACGTTGCAAAGAAGAAAACTGTAACCTAAAATAGAACATCATAGTGGTAAACAGAAAATACCAAGATAATGGCTCATTTCTTTAGACAGCAGATTCTGTAGATAGAAATTAGAGGTGGAGAGCAAGCTTCCAGGGTGGCTGAAGTCTTCTCTTTTTGTTGGTACTGGGGATCTAACTCCGGTCCTTGCGCTTGCGCAGCAGGCCATGAAACCACTGAGCTAAATCCCTGGCCTGGCTGAAGTCTTTTCTGCACCCTCATTTATTCTTCACAGCAAGAAGCTGAAGCTGAGTAGGGACCATAGCCATAATCACGCGTGTCTCAAGGAGACAGATTGAAGACATGAGCCGACTTCCCAAGTCACACACAGCTAGGAAGAGCTGGGAGCCAGAGGTGGGGTTTGTCTTCAACTCTATGCTTACAAGCAAACAAACAACACCCAATTGCTGCATTACACTGCTGTTCAATGAGTTCAGAGGACAGTGGAGGGGGAATGCAGCTGAGGAGAAACGTCCTGCATACTTGGCCCGTGTGAACAACCTCACTGTTTGGGAAAGCAGCACAGGAGTAGGATGAGAGGAGACTGCTGAAGGTGGTCAGAGCAAAGAAGAGGAGCATAAAAATCGTGAGAGCCAAAAGGCACAGCAAATATCAGTGACTATTTAATGTAGAGTTTTGCAATGCACATTTGGGTAATGTCTAGAAAGATAGAGCAAACGATGGTCTCTCTAAGATTGCTTAGATTTAAAGTTCTACTTTCTCAACTGTTGTTTCTTAAAATTACTCCCATGTACTGGGTAATTCATTCAAGCGTTCTTAAAGATGAATGAACTGAGCTAGCACTTAATTTCCATATATGTACTCTACTGGACTCTGTTGTAACGTCCTCCTATTATGTGTTTTCTTAGTCATTCAGTTAACAACAAGAACATTGATATTTCCACTGCAGATGTGAACATATCTGACAAGAGAGGATCATGTAGGAATTTTTAAAATGGAGAAACAAAGGAAAGGCATCCCTTGATTTTGGTTTGGAAGGAATTTTTTCCCCTGTTGGTTTTGGGGGAGCGTTTTTGGTCAATGCTCCCAGAGCTAACTGAGTTTTCCGCGATTTGCTATCGGTACTGATGTACTTGCTGAAGACTGAGCTAATGAATATTTTATAAAGCAGGAGGAAGATGTTAGGTCTTAATCTGGAAGACTGCCAGTACTAAACCTCTCACCTCTATGTGGCTGCTCAGCGCCAGACACTTTTCAGCTGCCTGAGGCTCTCTTCATCTGAGGTCTCATGGCTAACTTAACCTTGAGTGCAAAATCGAACTTCAGTATTTTCCTTCTCAGGCCCTTGCTGCTGACGCCCTTATTTTTGCTAACAGGACCATTGATCTAGTGACTTACACTCAAACTTTCCTCTGCAGTCACGGGGATTGCTACTTATCAAGGGCTTCCTGTAGGGAATTATCCTGTTAAAGAGTAGCAAACATGTATTTAATCCTCCAAAATTCTGTGCAGTGGGTACCAGCATTACCATTACTTTACCATAGGGGAGGCGCAGCTTAGCTGAACAATTTCAGATCATTTAGCTGCACATGGGCTAGCAGGATTCATAACTGAGTGGGCTTTGAACTTCCAACCTCCTGTCGTTCTGTCTTAGCTTCCCCCTGACTCCTCCTCCCCTCAAGGGACTTGGTCCCTAAAAGGCCCCACACAACTGGCATCTTCATTTTCAATGCCTCTGCCAAGGTCGGCCTTTCGTTCCCTCTCCAACACGGTCTTCCTGCCCTTTCTCAACACATTCTTGCTGGAGAGTCACTTCACATACACGACTCACTTAGGAAAACGCTCAATGACTCTTTGTGGTCTGAGTGTAGTCTTCAGTCACTATGTATCCTTCCAATGGTTGTTCTGAGCCCTTACCTTCATGAACTTGGAGTTTCATCCATCCTGGACGTCTTCCTGCGCTGCTCTGTTTGTTGGAATTCTACGGGTCTCCTTCACAGTTTAGATTGAGTCTTCTGTCCCCTTAACCAGATACAGATATTCTGGGCTTTTCTTGTGAGTGCAGATTCTGCCCTGTGTGGTGGTGCCTGTGGGTTTTGGCTCTAGTTCCCGTATAATTCCTTGAGGGTCGAAGTGTGGATTGCTGTTTTCTGCAGCAGGTGGTTAGGTAGTGCAGCACCACACACAAAGTTCTTGCTCTAAAAGGAAAGACGAATTTCATTTTGATTTAATTACTGGGAGTTGTCAGCATATGTGTCAGGTCCATGCACTCAACAGTTTTAACCTAGTAATGGAAATAAAACCCACGTTGGAAAATCAGCCAGAGAACAACCAGGAGCTCAGTTATGGGAGTGATTGGAGAAGAGGAGCAGGAGGGAAAGGATGGCTGGAGGGGCTTGAAGAGGAGAGAGATGGGCTGAGCCTGGTGCTGAGGAGTGGAGAAGGTGAGTGCCAGTCTCAGAGGACAGCACGTGGGGAACCCATGGAGAGGAGAAAACGCCAGGGACTTTCAGGGCGCTTCAGAGTAAAGCAACTCTTTGTTCAATTTCACAGTGTCATTTCCTCAAAATTTCCCACTCCAAGGTCCTGTGAAATAAATCACACTCTCCTAAATTAGTCCACAATAAGTGAGTTATTACTGTGTATTCCTGTACTGCTGCCTAACTGCTAGCATTCATCACTGACTTCATTGGAACTACAGATGTGACAACATGAGGCAAATTGCTTTCTCTTTTATTCTTTAATGACCATTGTGTTTTAAGGTTTTGATTCCCAGCATAGCCTAGGCTAGATGGTCAGAAATTATTTCATGCATTAGACTTCAGAATTCTTTTTAAAAGCCATTTTTATGATGACTTTCTACATACCAAGTAGTCTCTTCATTCTAATTTGTTCAAGCAAAATGGCTATGTGATTGCCCCCTGCTATAGTTTTAAGAAGGGAAATGTCTGCACATGTAGAGAAAACATGAAGCTCAGGTACCCACTATACTTGCAATCTAACCTAGGTTCACAGCTCGCCAGTGGAGATTGACAAATATAGGTTGTGATAAATTACTATGCAGATATGTTTCCACTAAAGGACTACCATAAAAAATAATGAAGCTGACAAAATCACTTTGAAAAGATACTTTATAAGCCAAAAAACAAGAAGGACAGGGACAAAGTATACATTCTTTACTTGTAGGGTAATGTAAGACACAAAAACATTTAAAAATTATAAAGCATTGACTGGTTTCTCCATTTGTTAAATTCTTTTTGACATGAACTGCGCATCATTTTTTCCTTGAGACTATAACATTGCTAATTTTCTCCATATGTGGACAATTTGTCTTTGACCTTTAACACGTCTCCTGGCTGTCAGCTTCCCAATGAAGAGCAATGCCACAGCATCATTTTACACACAGCAAGGCTGAAAGCACCATAAAAGTAAACGATCCATGGTACTTGATGCATTAACCAGCAAAATAATAAGCTATTCCAGCCCTGTAAATTTTAATGCCCATCCCTTCAAAACCATACCGGGTCACTTTAGTATTAAATATATAGGAACAAGATGGTAAATACACATGTTTTATTTGCTGAGCTGCCAGCTATATATTTTGTGTAAAAGTTCATTAACGTAGGAAAATCTATTCACAGGCACATTAGGCAGTGTATATTTTAAAGCAGTGCCTCCTTCTAATGCAGGATTTTATGTGTTACAGATACATTTACTATTAAGCATCATGTATATTTAATAGAACACTGTCCACTTCGTTGTTCTAAAAAGCCACTATTCACTTTATAGTTTCCATTATTGAAGAGCCAATGTGTAGCTCTCCCGCAATTTTGTAAAGTGCAGTCAACCCACAGGAGCTTCTAGTTTTAGCTTGTGGTCCCTGGGGACTGGGATCAATTGTTATGAAGTCATTAATTCTACCTCAGCAGTTCCAACTGTCAGGTACATGTAACAGTAATTGCAGTTAATGAATGCTGCTCAATTTATTAAGTGCCAAATGAAAACGCGAATTCTTTTATATGCAGCACTGAGCCCTATGACCATTGATCATTTGTATATTCCATGTTGGATATGCTACTCTCATTTATTGGGTCAGGATATATAGCCATATATTTCTAAAACTTCTCTTTATCAAAAAGTAATTCAGGAAATTCTAACTCTCTAATTAAAGAGTAATTCAAACAATCAATACTAAAAGTAATATTTAATAAAAACCTATGCATGTGAAAAGCAGTCTAGCGGTACCATGCCTTATTACGTTCTGTAGGACTGAGGAGATTGGATCACACTCCCCAAGCCCAATTCTCAGAGTATTAAAAATTCTGAAAGCTTCAAATGTATTTGTTTACAGTCTTGTTTCTTTTTCAATGTTTTGGCAGTAAAATTTTGGGGAACATAAATATGTTTTATGATTTAAAAAAGTAAGAACTACATATGTTACTTTCAGTCACTCAGAGTAAACTGCATAGACACTGGCAAGAGCAAACAGGGAAGAATTTCTGAAAATGTAGGATGAGACAGTATCGCTTTTAGGATCCCAGAGGCATCTGCTTCCAATAAACAAGCTCTGATCCTTCAGTTGTCCAATGTGAGTGACCACAATTAGTTTATACCGTGGAATCATTAATTCTTTGACCTGGGTTTTAATAACCTAGAAATTAAAAAAAATAATAAAAGGGTGGGAACCACAACATAGAAACATTGAATCTCAAAACTCTTAACTGCTGTCATCAATAGAGTGGGTTTAATTTAAGCAGACAGCGTGATACATTGTGGATATTTTCAGTAACTGTTGCAGAACTGTGACTGTGATTTCCTGTAAGTACTGTCCTCATGAGATAGGACATTCAGGGACAAAATGATAACACCAGCGATAAATCTGCAATTGCTGAACACATGGAAAAATTGTAATCTAGAGCAGAGAATTTAACAAGTCATTAGGTTCTTTGAAAACTGTGTTAGGATCACTTCTCTTCGTGGCATGAGGGTTGTAACTGTCTTGTTCACGTCTAATGAAAGAAACATCATCTGAGTCTCCTGTAATATGACTAATTGTGAATGTGTATTAAAGAGTTTGTTAGAAAAGCGAAGGTATAGGAAACAACCAGAAAGGGCCAGCACTGTAGCTGATAAAACTACAAATGTATTTAAAGACTGTGATGTTTGTAGTTAACGGTACTAAAAGAAGTTGCCGTGGTGGAGAGAAAATGATCGTGAAAGTATTGTATCTTTTGCAATAAAAATTTTTAGAAGTGGGCAGTTTTCTGTATCTGTTACAAAATACACGATTGTTTTAGACAAAGGCTTGTTATACACACACATGCAGCACATGAGCTAATAAATATTTCCATAAAATATAAATATGCCTTTTAACTACTGCCAAAAACAAATCCCTGCATCACAAAGGAACAACTGAGCTGTGCTTTTGGCAAATATTGTAGTTACAGCTACAACTCTGGGTCAGTTTTGCTCATACCTCAGAAAGCGTTTTAGTCATCTGCCTGCAGAGCTCTGGTTTGTATTTTTCTTCTTGTAGATAGTTTGTTAACACATCTTTCAAAATACAATTGATGATGACCATAGGAAAATGTTTCATAGGACCTGAAAAAACAGACGGAATTTCTTTTTAAGAAATAGTTGCATACTTAGGAGGCTGAGGCAGGAGAATTGTAAGTTCAAGGCCAGATTGGGCAATTTAGCCAGGTCTTATCTCGATCAATCAACCAATCAATAGCTGGAATGTAGCTCAGTGGTGGAGTGCTTGCCTAGCATGTGTGAAGCTTTGGGTTCAATCCCCAGTACTGCCAAAAAAAAAAAAAAGTAATTTTCAGATGTGTCCACCTAGCTCCTAAGCTCATCAAAAGAATAGTGAAACACAGAGACCTTTAGCCATCTGCTCATCTGGGTGGCCTCTATTTAGGGAAGAAAGAGATCCTAATTAGGAGTTAAGTCAGGTTCTGAAGCCTGCAGCCTCAGGAGCTTCCCAGACCACCCAAAAGGCCGGACTCCCCAGTCTCCTCCCTTGGACCATGCTGTTAGCAGCTCTCAGTCTAACGGGCTCCTGCTCCCTGCTCGGCTCCCATCCAGCGGCCACAGGGCCCTCACTGCAGCCCAGGCCGCAAGGGTGCTCCTGGGCTCTGCTCTTGCTCTTTCTCTCCAGTGTGGCTTCCTTCCCATCTGTCAGGTGGAGAAATCAGCCTCTCCAGGTTCAAGTCCAGCTCACGTGTCCTCCTTCTCAGGCAGCCTTCACTCCCCCGGTTCCAAGCACCCCACTTCTCCCGGCTCCTTGGTCCACACTGTCCTGGCTCCTAATCTACCTGAAAGTAACTAAAACACTTCTCTGCTTCTCTCCAATTCATGCTATGGGCACAGCAGATGTGCAATGTATGACTTCTGAATTTGAAGCCAGGACCTTTGCACTGAGCTACATCCCTACCCCCTTTTTTTTTTATTTTTTAGAGAGAATCTCACTAAGTGGCTAAATTACCCTGGCTGGGCTCCAATTGGCAATCCTCCTGGCTCAGTCTCCCAGAGTGCTGGGATTACAGACCTGCATCACCGCAGAATTAAACATTTTATAGATAATAATCATTGCGCACGCATTGGCACCTCTTTGCCCATCATTTCTCGTGTGTCAGCCACGGTGATAGACACTTTACACATATTTACCATGTGTAAGCTTCCAACAGCTCCCAGAGGTGAATCTCACTGTTTTCCATTTCACAGGTGGGAAACAGCTTTTGATACCTGGAGTGACCGGTCAGGCCCGGAGCCACACAGCAGTGGGGTGGAGCGGACACTCAGGGTCGCCTGGCCCTGGAGTGCAAAGTCCATATTCTCAGCCACGTTGACTGCAGCTTGGGGCCAGAGATTTGCAGGCACCTGCTGTCCCTGCATCCTGGAATCATAGCCATGACAGCCCTCTGGGGGCCTGTGTGTGTCACTGCACGATGCACACATGTCCCAGGGCTGGGCATGCAGAGAACTAACCACTGTTGAATTGATAAAGACCAAAGAATGAGATCAAGAATTATATCCAGCTGGGCATGGTGGCACACACCTATAACCCCAGTGGCTTGGGAGGCTGATGCAGGAGGATTATTAGCTTGAAGCTAGTCTGAGTAATTAAGCAAGGCTCCATCTCAAAATAAAAATAAAGGGCTAGGGATGTAGTGGTGTGATTGTCCTGGGCTCAACCCTAAGAACTACAAAAAAAAAAAATCAAATTCCCTTTTAATAGTCATCAGTGTCTATTAAGAGGTGTTTATTTTTAAAGTTTTATTTCAGTCAGTGTCTAAAGAAGCATATGTCACACTCAAGTTAGGAAAACTGCAGGAGGATTTCATGAAAGGTGCCTCCAGGGAGGTGTAAGCAGGGCAGAGGAAATTCCAAAGGACAGTGCTGTCCCTCTGGGCTGGTGGACATGGGGTGTGGCCATACCTGCCCCGGCTGGTGGAATCCAGGAGAGAGCTCTTCTGAGGTCCTGGAAGAGCCCAGCTCTGCCCCTGGTCCAAGGAGGCAGGAGCAGACCCCATATCCCCTCTGCCTTCCTGCTGGGGCTTCTTGGGCTAAATCAACAGAAGGCTAAGCTGGGAGCGGGGTCTGGCTGGGTCAGCCCCTGAGGCTCCATAAACAGAGTTGTTATTTTGATGACAGTACAGGAGTTGTTCAGAGACACTGTGCAGTGGTTCTGATGACCGTGATGTCCAGCACGAGTCCCTCTCCTGGGGGCCCAGATGAGCAGCTGGTTCTGCTTGTGCCTGCTCCTGGGGGTCAGAGTCGATGGGGTCCCACGAGCATGCCCTGGGGACTCAGGCTCTGTGTCACCTTCCTGTGGGTCTCTCAGGTTTCCACTTCATACTCCTGTGAGATGAAGCCAAACTCGAAGGTGATTTCCCCTTTTCTGTTGAAGGAGTTCAGAAAGGATTCCACTGGGCTGGACTAAATGAAGCTCAGGGCCCTGAGACCCAGGCACTCTCTGTCTCGGGTCCCTGAGCACTCAGGTGTGGGGTCCCTAAGCTGACCAGCATCTGCCTGTGGGCCCTGGCTCTCCCTGGCATCACACCCCCTTGGGTGCATCGTGCCCTTCAGGAGATGGCAAATCCTTTTCGTGCTCATGTTTTGTCTACCCAGTGCTCCTCCCTGGCTCTTGGGCACATTGTGTCTCCTTCTGGAAATGGACCCTCTTCCTCCTCTCCTCTGTGGCTCTTCGGGATCCACCACTCCCTCCTGTGAGCCCAAGTCTAGGGCAGACTGACTGACTCAGGGGTGACACTGCCCCAGGCCAGACAATTTAAAAGTCCTTTCTTGGAATTTTTATTTTAAACTGAGACCAGGAAGGAAATGAGTCAGCCTCTTTTTGTGGCAACCTTATGACCTATGACCCTCAGGCGTGCTGGCAGCCATGTGTTCCATGGTGGGAGGAAGCTGGGCCTGGTCAGTGACGGAACCGACACACAGGCCAGTGCTGGAGAGAGAACCCTCCCCACCCTGGAGTCCTCTGTCCAGTAGTCCCCGTTGGCCAGCTGTGCCAGTGTCCTTTCAGCACTTTGCTTAGTTGCTTTTTAAAAATCTCTTTAGCCAGATTATATTTTGAAACATTTTTTAAATAAAGCAATGCATTTTTTCCCTCACTTTGTTGTCATCTTTCCCGCATACATGCAGAATCACCCACAGCCTTGCTCAGACTGGGACGCTGAGATTCAAAGAGAGGGGAAGAGTCAACCTTCAGCTTTTCATTTCCAACATGCAGAAGCTCCTGAAGCTACTCTCAGAGTTAACCAAGTAACAGCAAAGCTCTTCTTTTCTGAGTGCTATTATTTTTTGAAATAACTTTTCCTTAGAAAGAAAAAAATGCTCTAGAAATCAAAAGGCAAAGACCTGAAGACTCAGATTTGAGAGGACAGCTAAAGGCAAATGGCTTAACATATCTGTGGCCCAGCCCCCCCCAACCTGGGGTAATAAGAATGACTGCCTATTATTCTTTGGTTGGGATTCAGTGAGATAAAAAATTAAAAATGTTTACGCAGTGCCTTCCACATACTAGAGCACCCATAGATAGTTCTTCTTATGGGCGTGCTGGTGTTATTGTGTTTCTCATGCTTTGTGGGGCGGGACAGGAGAGGATGGAAGGAGGAGGGTGGAGTTGGCAGGGAGCCTGGGAGGCCCCATGGAGGGCAGATCATGGGAGGCTGGTAGGTCCCACCCAAAACCTGAGCCTCAGACAGGGCCTGAGCCTCACATGGGGTCCAGGCTCAGGGGTCTCTCCTGCCTCTCACCATTGAGGTTCTACTTCCCATCGTGTAGGCTTCATGCTGGGGCGTCAGCCAGAGTGGCCCCCAAACCTCTTATCCGAGCTGATGTTCATTATCAGTTTTTTTTTTATAGAATCAATTACCGCTTGAATCATAGCTCCAGAAACAGTCCTGTGGCAAACTCATCCCATAATTAACAGGAAGTTACACTGAATATCAAGGAGACACTTATTCTTAGTAAGGTCCTGGAGCCCGTCACTTTTAGGAGCAATGACAATGGGTGGAGAAACAACTGAAACGCAGTTCTTCACTCGATTGTCATAGCATCCCTTGGACATAGGGACTATTATTCCTATTTGCAGGTGAGGTGACTAAGATGCATAATTTTGCTCAAAATTCATTTATCTAGATATTACCAAAACTAGAATTCAATTCAGATCCATCTGATCTCACAGTCTCTGTTTTCTTCCACACTCTTGTTTCAGTAATTGGTGAGAAAATGGAAAATGGAGTTTAATTAGAAGAAATAGACTTTACTTTTCCCATTCCCCTTTTTCTCTCATGAATTACATTCCTGTGTCACCTCATTTTTGAAAGCTGTAATTATTGAAAGGGAGAACAAACATGCTACACACGTAACATGGGGTCAGATAATGAAACATTATTGGCTCGACTGAAAAATTAATGAAACATAATAGTTCTGATAACTGATTTTCCCCCAACTCTTCTGGGGAATGTTACACTGTATAGATACTGGAAAAAAAACTTTACTAATAACTTTCATGTTCAAAATAAGTCCAGCAACACTGAGTATTAATAAAATGGCTAGCTGAGTGCTTTGAAAAATGGATTGCTGGGCATAACTGACATCAATCATAAAAAAATGATTCACACAGATTTTTATAAGGAAATATAGAAATAGTTTATCTATACTATGCTGGTTTTTAAAAAAATTACTCTTCTAACTTGGTCCAACCTTTAGTACTCAAACTGACAAGACAATTTAGCTTGCTTATGTGAGGAAGTAAGTTGTGAAAATATAGCTTTATGAAGAAGAAACACACAGATCCACATTTCAACTGCTCAGCCTTGCTGAAATCTGACTCAAAGTCAGAGGTCCCCAGTGATTCAGAGCTTTTGGTTGGGTCAGGGGAAAAACTAACTCAAACTGCATTCCCCAACTGAAAAGTCGAAGCCAGCTGCACTTAGGATGCAAGTGTGATTCCAGGACTTGGGCTGTTTCTCTCCATGTCAGGCTCGGTGCTGGGGACAAGATGACCAAAGCCACGAGGCCCCTTCCTCCGTTTGGGTTCCGCGGCCATGTCTGCTTCTCTAACTGTCAAACCGTATTTCCTGAGTTCAATCTCCAGGGCTTTGATAGGGTTGACTGGGCTTATTTTCCATCCCCAAATCAGTCCTGCTCCATCTGTGAAGCCAGGTCTGCTCCAGTACAGTTTTGTGCACCGAAAGTTATGATGGTGCTGTTGGTGAAAATACTCCCAAGGAAACTGACATGGCTACCGGAGGAACATAAAAGTGTTTTGGGTGCTAGAAATATGAGCTCTCCACCACGAGCACCCTGAAAATACCAGTACACTCCCTTTGAGCCTTGTAGGCCATGCAGTATTGGGATTGCTGTGGAAAAATAGCTCCAAGGCCTAGTAGGCTGGGCTGATGGCTTATAACTTCCTTGGGGTGAACTGGCCACAGATGGAAGCACCATGGCCCATAGAGGCTTCCTTGGCCCCCTGGTAAATCTCTATGGAATTTCCATACAGCAGTAATTATATATAAATTCAGATAATAGCAGGCAGGTGCACATTTAGAGAAAACAAGTAGGTCTGTGAAGAAACACGAATGGGAAAAGATACTTGCCGCAGACTCCACCTGGGACTGCAGGGACAGGTGCAAAGGCCTTTGTTTTCAAAGACCCAAAACCTCGGTGGTAATAGACAAACGCCTCTGTCCATGGGGACCAAGAATCTTTTACCTCTGCCTGGAGGATTTTCCTTCCACTGATCAACAGATGAGTTGGTTTTGCTGGATAAAGCACCAACGCATATTTCTCTCACTTAATGCATCCCTATATTTATATATAGTAACTCCACCCAGAAATACATGGTGAGCTTCTTAATTCCATCATACGTTATTCACATCTGTGCCTCCCAGCCTTTTGCTTGGTATTTAGGAAACACTGATCAAGAAAAGTAGGAAGAAAATAAAGTAGCCTCAAATCACTCAAATAACTAAGGCTCTTTATGCTGGATGGCAAGCTGTCAGGTGCCATGTTCAGTAGACATCAGTGACCACATCAGAAGTGATAAAGGGACCCACCCAGCTGATAGGTATTTTCCATTCGAACCGTGAGGCGAGAAATCTCATCACGCTGGCTTGGTTCATCCACATAAGACACGCTACTTACGGAGCTGAAAGTAAGGGAGGAAACACAGTTTAGCCATGATTTATAACCATAACAACAAAAGCCCACTTTTTCTGTAAGAAAGTTTCAGGCTAGTCCTATGTCAGTATCCCAAGGTCATAGTTAAAGTCTAGAGGACACGAGAGGTGAACGTGCAGACAGGTTGAAAGGTCACTTGGAGGAGGGCCCAGTGTGGTAGCCATCTAGTGATGACCCCGGGCCGAGAATCCAGAAGGTACTCGTGGGTGGATCTCGCGGGTGGATCTTTGTCCACAGGGAATGGACCGCTTGTTTCAGAAGCCATCGCCAATGGCACCACAAACAGAAACAAAAGTGCTCCTCAAGTAGACAAAGCTCCCAAATGCCATGGGGGACACACCAGGCAGCTTAAAATGTTGGGAAACAAACCTATATGGGCAGGGTATTATACAAAGCTCCTGATTACATGTTCCCACCAAGTCCTTCCTTCGCGTATAAAAGAAAAACAAGAAACTCATCTATAAGGTGAAAGAAACCGCAATTCACCCAAACTATCCCAAATCCATAAGCCTCCATCTCCTTTTTCAACACAGAAAAGGGGTTTGGCTTGGTTACCGTGGTAATCTGAGCTTGTCCAGGTGCTAAGCAGGCGACCCCAGCAAAGGGGAGCCCTGGGGTCCCTCAATGTTTATTTCAGCTGAGCCTGAGGAAACTCAGCTGTAACTAATGAGTCTCCAATGCTTCACCCTGTTTCCCCACCTGTGAAAATGTAAGTTGGGACAGATGTCATTTCAAAGGGAGTGCCACAATAGTGCGCACGTGTGTACGTTCAAAGTGACCACTTTTCTAAACAGGCTCTGTGTTTGCTCTGAGAAAGACATTTGTTCTTAATCTTTTGGGATTTCTTTTTCCGTACAGAGATTAAAATACTTTGTTCTCAGCTGCTTGGAATTAGCAAACTTCTTGCAAATTGATATTTTAAAAAAATCCTTTAATACAATATAATTTACAGGCTAAATTAAGGTTTACCCACCCAGCCCAGGAAAGCGATGCTAGAAATTACGGCTGCTTCTTTCACAATGATTTCTGGATTAGTGATTTAGTCTTCTTTCTTAACCCACCTGCTGCCCTCCGTTTTTGAAGCAGCAAGCAGCCCCTGGCCGGAGTGGCTCAGGTGTCACGGGCTGCGCTAGAGATGATAGTTTCTGCTTTAGAAAGCCAGGGTTGTATCACTTCCTCCATTCGGAGGTGAGCTATTGGGCCCCACGGTCAGTTACGTGTGCTGCTTTCAACGCTGCAAAACGTTCCCCAGCAGTTAGCTTTAACATCAGTGAAGGAATCACTATTCCACCCATTTCGGAGATCAAGGACACATGGCACAGGGCTTAATGTTGTGCAGGAAGGAAAGGCAGCTTCAGACTCACTTCCAAGGTCCCCCACCCTCCGGTGACAAAGTCTCACACGCAATCACACCTGACAGAATAAGAGGGGCCATGGCCGCTGGAAGAATTAATCACTGCAATTATAACGTAGATGCACAAACATACAAAAGGCATTGATAAAAAAACCCTGTTTCTTTTCTACTGAAGACCAAACGAAAAGTCTCAGAAAGAAATAGAGTTGCACAAAACTCAAATTAGCTGGGTTTAAAGTCTAAGACAAAAAAGAAAATAAGGATTTTAGAACAAGTTCTTGCTATTGCTTTGTTCACGGTGACTGAAAGTTAATAATAAGTGTACCTTATAATATTAATGCTATGAAACTGCTGCCATAGGGCAGCATCAAAGCCCATAGTTGGTGACTGAATGCAAACAGCAGGTTATCAGATGGCTTTTCTGAGTTACTGAAGATGATTTTGCTCAGCACCTTCCTATTTCTGCAGTAACCATTTCAATAGTGTCCATTGTAAGGGTCGGGGATTTAGCTCAGTTCCTTCGCTGCCTGCTACACAAGCACAAGGACCCGAGTTTGATCCCCGGTCCCAAAAAATAAATAAATAAATAATGGGTTTAAAAAAAAAATAATAGTGTCCATTGTAAAAATTTGAAGTCACACAGGTAGTAACGTTACACAAAAATCACCAACCCCAGTAGTTATCTAAATACTGCTTGCATTTAAAAAATGTCTTTGCACACATACGACATTACATATGGACCCTTGTATAGATGCTGGGGTTTTTTTTTCAGTTAAAACTGTGTCGTGGCTAATGTACCATGCCAGCAGAGAGTAGTCTACATCAATATTTTAAATGTCAGGCTGGTACATAAAATATAAGTATTCTGCAGTTTCTTCAACTGTGGTCTCTCTAGCCATTTAGGGTATTTTGATATTCTGCTATTATAATGAAAATCGTAATGACTATTGTGGCAGGGCTGTCATTACTTTCAAATGTTCTCTCCCCCTTCCTTGGTATGAAACCCTGAATTTGTGAGAATATTTATGTTTAGATTAAAGGCGAATTCTTAGTGTCTTTTTATGCTATTATGGTTCTGTGGCTTATGAACCAATGAGATATAAATGGAACTGTTGGGTGGAAATTTTGAGAAGATTCCTAAAACAACAACAACAACAACAACAAACTACAACTAATTTAACCAATAGGAACTTGTTTTTCGTCTCCTTGTTTCCTGGAATGTGGTTGTGATGGTAAGGGCTCAGCAGCTTTGTAGGTGTAGAGGTGATCCTATGGGCTTTAGATCAGAATGACTGGAGCCTATGTCCCCAAATTGCCTCCCTCCTTTTCTTCCTTCATGTAAGAGAAAAATAAATTTCTATTTGTTAACATCACTAGTTGTTGGGGTTTTAAAAAATGTACTATTACATAGGAAGCATTAGATACAACTGATGCAAATTTAAATTGAGGCAGAATTTGCTACTTGTAGTGGAACAAAACTAGTCTTGACGCTAGTTTTGTGGAGGAGCTGAGGATTTTGGGAGTAAGGTTTAGATATTTTCCTGGACACCTGGCAACACTTACCAGGCAGAAGGAAAATATTTGTGGTGCTCATTGCTTTCTGTACCTTGCAAGGCTGGCTATGTCTCCCTCAAGACATGGAAAATAGCCAGGTGTGGTGGTGCAGGCCTGTAATCCCAGCACTTGGGAGGCTGAGGCAGGGGGATCACTATGAGTTCGAGGCCAGCCTGAACTGCATAGTGAGATCCTGTTTAGAAAAAAAAAAAAAAAAAGGAAAATTTTCAGAGAATTTTACTTTTAATTTTTTTATTTTAAAGAAAATTTTACTTTGTAAAACCTGTATTTAAGCCAGGCATGGTGGTACAGGCCTGTAATCAGCATGGTGACAGGCTGAAGCAGGAGATGGAAAGTTTTAGCCCAGCCAGGACAATTTAGTGACTTAGTGGGACCCTGTCTTAAAATAAAAAATGAAAAAAAGGATAGGGATGTAACTGAACGTGAAGGTCTTGGATTCAATCCCCAGTGCCATGAAAACAGACAAAATGTGTTGACGGTGTTTTTTCTTCTTTTCCCTTTTTAGTTTTTATGCACTGCTGGGGATTGAACTGAGTGCCATCTGTGCTAAGCAAGTGCTTTAACACTTTGCTACATCCCCAGACTAATTTAAGGTTTTTCTTTGTTTTTTGTTTTTTGTACCAGGGATCGAACTCAGGTCTTGTGCTTGCAAAGCAGGTGGCAGAACCACTGAGCTAAATCCCCGGCCCCTAATTTAAGGTATTTTTAAAAAGCCAGATCACCTAGTTCTCACATTGGAATAAAACAGATTGGAAAAGGAGAGAGTGAAAAGAGAAGAATAAGCTAAATTTAAATAATAACATTTGGGTGCCATGTGATGTTTCAATACATGTGCACATTGTAACTGTGCAATTCAGGTTGAGCCTATCTATCTAACCAAATATTTTCTTGCAATGAAAATATTCAAAATCCTTTCTACTTGCTTTTTAAAAGACATGCAGGACGTTACTGTTTATCTAGATGTTCTGAAGCTGCAATAAGAGGTGATATTTGAGCCCATGTGTTGGAGCCCTTAAAATAATAGATTCAAAATGTCAGAATTCTCCTTTTCATCTATTTGTAACCATGAAATGTCTGGAGCTACCATATATCTACTGAAGTGCAATCCTTTTTGGGTGGGTTGTGGGGCTGTGTGTGTGTGTGTGTGTGTGTGTGTGTGTGTGTGTAAACTGTTACTAAAATCATGTTCTGCCTCCCAGTGGAGAGATTTCAGAGTACACAGAAAAAGAAGGCTTCAAATCCTAAATTTCTACATTTGAAAAAATAACCTTTTGACGTTTTAATTCTTTCAGCAAGGATTTATTGCCCGCAATATGTCAGGCACAATACGTGCAGTTCTAGTAATAGAAAGAAAACAGACTCCCGCGTTCTACACATGATATAGAATACGAGATAAAGTATGCATGGGCTCCTTCACTTGGGAATCCCCCTGCCCCGAAAATATATTACGCTTCAGATCAAAAGCACACCAATTCTCCCATCAGTAGGTGGTGCTACTTGTCTAGCAAGCTCATTAAATTTTGTGGCCACTTAGTTTACAACACATTTACTGGGTTTCAATGCAGTTTTGAGGGATTTTGCTCCTATTATTGGCCCCATCTCACTTGTAACAGGAAGGTTCCAGTGGAAACAGAAGCCAAGGTAGCTTTCACAGTGGAAGAGGTGAGGAAATGACTGGCGAGGTGCTCTCGGGATGGATGCTCAGGAGCCCCAGCGACTGACGGACCCAGAAGGAGCCCGCGTCCGGTGGAGGAGCCACCTCTCCTGTGACTGAGATAGCAGGGCACAGTGACAAAATCCGATCCTGACGTGGAGAGAGGAGCGAGTATCTGAAGCGCACGGAGCTGACGCTCACCCGAGAGGACAAGGTCATGGTCGAGGGCGGCAGGCGAAGCTTCTGCCGCAGGGTGCATGGTTCGAAGCCACGCAGCCCCCAGCCGTCAGAGAAAGGCGACCCTGAGTGTGCGGGCACCACGGTGACCTCCGCTCCCCTGTGGGGTCCTCTCATAACTCACTGCAGCACAAATGAAACTGTCTTT